TAGATTTTTAGGTATTAATTCCATCTATTGTATGCCCTTGTGACTTGGATGATTACTCTGATCGCTTGCTGCATGATCGACTTGTTACTTGGTTGATTTTGTTGGATTTCCAGTTGCACGTTGCTTTGTCATTTTTATTATTGTATCATTTTTTCGCATTGGGTTTTCGTTCGTTCTTTCTTTTGTAGGGTCTTGACGTGTGCCATACACGCTGACGTACACCTATTTTCTCTGGTGTACGTCAGACTTAGAGGAAGAACAGGTTCAGCTGGGAGATCACCAGGAGCCAGAGGATTCTCAGCAGGAGTGCCTTGCAGACCGAGCAGAAGAAGCCAAAGTTTAGTTATTCCCTCTAGTTGTTCGATGATCTTAGTTTACTTTTGTAGCATTTCTTTTCTGCTTGATCATTGTATTTTACATTTCTCCAGTATTCATTTGTTCAGAGATGTATAAGGGCATGTTTGACCCGAATATTATGTCTTGAATGATATTCATTTGTGATATATATTATTTTATTCTGAGTTTGTCTATTATATTCTTGCTGATTGTGATCGGGGACCTGTGACTTCGCATTGTACTTATTTTCAGAAGCTTAGCGTATTAGGTTGAGGAGAAATATTTATTTTTATTTATTCTTCTTGATCTAATACGTCGCGGGCTTGTTCACGTTCCGGTTCCCGTGTATTTTGGGAAGCGAGGCGTGACAGTGAGAAATTTATCGTGTTGATCCTTGGTGACTTCTATCTTTTTGAAAAAATTCCACACATCGGATCTCATCCTTTTAAGAGCTCTAGGTGCGGCATCATCGCTATTGGATTCGAGATCAAAATCAGTAGTAGTAGCTCCTGTAGCTGTAGTAGGAGTAGACTCATTTCAATATCGGGAGTTGGAAGTTGCTCTTCATAATCGGAGGAGGAAGTTATTTGATTGGAGAATTAGAGACTATAAGAAAGAATAAGAGAGTATTAGAGAGTATAAGAGAGTATTAGAGAGAAATAGATGAGTTTTGAATAAAACATAAATAAAAACCCTTCAATTTATAGAGGCAACCCCTAGCTAAATGACCAAAATATTCTCAAATTTGGGTGATCTTTTTGGGAGTATTTTGATCAATTAACCAAAAAAGCCATTATAGGCTATTTTGGCAGACCTGACCGGGTCCAGGCCGGTCTTGTCCGGACCCGTCCCGGTGCAACGGTCAAAAATATTACAGTTGTACCGTGCCGGGTCCGGGCCGGACCTATCCGTCAGGGCCTTGATCCGGGCTAAACCCGAACCCGGGCACCCCGACCAGGCCATTTTCATGGCCGGGCCGGGCCCGGTGCGGGTTTTGCCGAGGTGACCCGAGCCTTGGCCTGAAGCCCAGTTTGGCTCGGAAAATCGAGCTTTGCCCGGGTCCAGGCTAGGCTCCGGCCCGGTTGGGTTCGGTCCGAACACCAGGTCGGGTCTAGGCCTCGGACCAGTTTGGACAACCCTACATATAGAAAACCCAAATCTGACATCCAATGTAGTGTATACTAATCTTTATTAATTTATATATAAGACAATTTCAAAACTAACCTATTTAGAAACTTAATTACAAAAAATGACATGTTTAGAATTTATTTACCAAATTCGACACAATTTCAGCCAGTCGGTTAAAACTGGGTCGAATTTGACGAAAAAAGTTACAAAACTTCACGGGACTTCAAGTCCCGTAAAGTTGAAGTGCGCCATAACGAAGATGATTAGTGGCCCAAAACTTCACGGGACTTCAAGTCCCGTGAAGTTTTGTGGCTTCACCAACTTCACAGGACTTCAAGTCCTGTGAAGATTAAGGCGTAATTTCCAGAGGGCATGACCTCTCATGGATGATCGCGATGCTCCAAACTTCCTCTTTGAGTCTGTTGAGCAGGCCTCTCATGGAACCAATGTCATAAGATTCCTCCTCCTCCTTTCATTCTTATTCCTATTCCTTCTCTTCTTCTTCGCTTCCATCAACCAATAAACTAATAAATCGATGATCAGAAACTCTGCTTATTAAATCACAGGGTAGGTACAACCTTGTTGCGGCGCAGCCAACAATGGAGGTTGTGGCAAAGGAGAATCTGGTCACCATCGTGGACCACAAACAAGGCCACAGGACCGAGAAGCTTGTTGAGGATCCTATGCAAATCCCACGCACTATCACTCAAGGATGGAGCCTATAGTTCCTCCATGAATTTCCCCATGATGTCTTCTCTGGTGCCTAACCCCACCCACCCCTTTTGCCATTCTTTCCATAAACTCCCCTTCCAAATTTCCTATCAAATGTTTAGTGTGCTTCTACTATCATTGGCTTTTTCTTGCCTTATTATGTTTTATACCGTGAGGTGTGTTATTGTGCCTTAAGCTTCACAGGAGTTGAAGTCCCGTGAAGTTGGCGAAGCCACAAAACTTCACGAGACTTCAAGTCTCATGAAGTTTTGTTACGTTTTTCAAGTCCTGTCAAGTTGGCAAAGCCACAAAACTTCACGAGACTTCATGTCCCGTGAAGTTTTGGGCCACTAATCAACTTCGTTATGGCGCGCTAAAACTTCACGAAACTTAACATTTTTCGCCATTCGACCAAGTTTCAACCAACTGGCTGAAACCGGGTCGAATTTGGTAAATAAATTGGAAATAGATTGGTTTTTGCATTTAAATTTTTAAACAGGTTGGTTTTGAAAAATTATCCTTATATATACTATGTTTGATTTACGAGTGGTTAAATATTTTGTTGTGCAAGTAATATAACATAAAACTTGCAGTGACGAAAGCCACAAAGAAACAATGGAGAGAAGATCCAAGCAGGGCCGGTTCTGAGGGCGTGCGAGCTATTCGACCGCACAGGGTCCCCTGAAATTGGGGGCCCCAAAATTTTTTTAAGCTTCTAATATGGTGATAGGGCCTTGACAGCGGTGGAGCTTCGAAGCGGTGAGCAAGAAGAAGAGACGGGAGGCTGGCTTGGAGTTGGAGGGTGGAGACAACTAAGAAGAAGAAGAAGAATCGACGGGGAGAAGGCAGCAAAGAAGAGAGATCGCGTTGGCGGAGACGGCGTCGTGATTTAGGGGTTTTTTTAATTAATTAATTTCTTAGCCCTATCCCAATGAGAGCCAACGGCCACAAGACGTCCAGCTCATCGATCCGCGACTACAGCCCTCAAATCAAAACCTATCCCCTTCCTGTATAAAGTACCAGCTCCTCGAGCCTCGTCCTCTACTCATCCAAGCGACCGAAATCAAATACCCCACAGGCTCCCCTTTTTGCCCTGATAAACCTGTTGGAGGAGGAGGAGGAGCTGAAGAAGGCGGAGAAGGCCCCCACCGGCAAGAAGCCCAAGGCCGAGAAGAGGCTGCCGTCGAAAGAAGGAGGCCTCTGTCCGCGAGATCCAGACCTCCGTCAGCCTCATCCTCCCCAGCGAGCTCGCCAAGCACGCTTTCTCCTCGCCGGCGGTCGGATCCGGGGATCAAGGCCTCGTTTTTAGCAGTATTTTTTCTTTTTTTCGTCGTTGTGTAGTTGTTATCTATAGTGTAATTACTTCCCTTTATGCCGTGAATGGAAAAAATCGCAATTTTTCATTATTTGATTTGCTATTTGCTTAATCGTGACATTGGTTAGTGAGTGATTTCTGTGGATTAGAAGCAATCTATTGTATTGATTATTGTTCAAAATTACGGCCTCTATTTACATCTGTTTAACTCTGGTCTATAATTGCTCTTCTATCTCTCTCTTTGTTGTTTCTATCTGAATGGTTTAGTCTTTAGAAAAATCTAATTTTTACTAATATGATTGTGATGTTTAAAAACAATATTTCCACTATATTTTGTTGTTCTCAATTTTTTGTACTAGTATATGATCCGTATAGTTTGCTTGTTTTTCTACTAGTGTTAGGGATTCAAATTGAAATTTATTAATATTTTGTATGTAGAGAAGAGCATGTGTTTACTTTTCGCACAGGGCCCCTAAAATCTCATAACCGGCCCAGGATCGAAGAAGTCCAACGACGTGCTCCAAATCCAAATAAATTACAATATATACTCAAAGGCTCCTCCAGGCTTTTACCCCATAAGGATCCACCACTTCCATTCAGCCCAGCTTTCCAACCGGTGGTTGCACATTCTCCATAAAACCGAAAGAAAAATCCAACACTAGACACCACGTACGTCTTCCCCACCTCGAATCACCACATAAAAAAAAAAAACATTAGATTAGGCTAAATAGCACTTCTGACTTATATATCCTATTGCTTCCCTTACTTCTCACTTATATACTGTCATTTGTATATAGTAGCAATAAAAAAATTTAAAGTTTTTTTAAACTTACACTTATATACCCTCACTTGTTTTTGGTAACAGTAATATACCTAAAAAAATTTAAACTTTGCACTTAATATGCCCTCTAATTTTTAAAATTGGCACTTAAATATCCTAAAGCTTTTGAAATTTGCACTTAAATATCCACAAATATTGCAAATTTAAGAATATTTATGTACGAGTTTTAAAAACTTTAGGGTATTTAAGTAAAATTTAAGAATATTTATGTGCAAGTTTTAAAACTTTAGGGCATTTAATGTCAATTGTACAAACATTAAATGCCGCAAAAAAATGAGGGCATATAAGTGCAAGTTTAAAGACCTTTAAAGTATTTTCCTACCAAATACAAGTAGATGAATATAAGTAAAAGCAGGTGAAACAATAGGTCATGGTCCAAGTAATTAAAAAAAAGACCAAGTCCAATGTGAAGGCTGAAGATATCGATAGTTTAGTTAGTCACCATGAGTAAGGCAGTGGAAGATTCTTCTGATGTTTAATAGCCGTAATCTGAGTGTATGGTTAGGTTAGCTTACACGTAAAGTGATGCAAAAATTAGTGACTCCCTGAAAGTTTGAAGTGTAATTAAAGATTGAACTATACTTATAAGTTGCGAAGGATCGTTGAGATTATTAATATCTGAGAATAGTAACGCGAATCGACCCTAGAGTGGACCACATTTATTCCTCCAGCAAATATTAAATAATAATAATACATTTAAAAAAAAAAACTAGGAGAGAAAGAAAATCCCCTCTCTTCTTCTTTCTCTTCTCCTCTGTCGTTTTTAATTTCGAAATAACTTTATTTTTTTCTTGAGACGGATGAGAGCAAGATGAGAACAATATGCGATGCGTGTGAGAGTGCAGCTGCTGTGCTCTTCTGTGCTGCTGATGAGGCTGCCCTCTGCACTTCCTGCGATCACAAGGTCTCCTCTCTTTTTCTCTTTTATTTTTTAATCCCTTTTCATGCTCATTAAATTTCTATATGAATGCTCTATATACACTTTTGAGGTTCCTAATTGCGGAATTTTAATCCCAATTGATTTGGGTCAGTTGGGTATTTGGCCAAATTGAGGTATTTTGAGATTGATCTAATGATCGATTGTGCAGAAAACTTGAAGTATTTGCTATACTCTGTATCAAATTATTGGGAAATAATAAGGAATCATCACATAATGCCCACACATGTAGAACCTTGAACAATTAAATCCTGTTTTTAAGACAGTAGAAAGTGTATAGTTATCATAACAAAATTATAGATTAAAGACTGGAAATTCAATTTTTAATTTTTTTAATGCACATATATCGGCACAACTACAATCGTGGTCTAGGATATGAAGATTTTGCTAATCTCCAAGTTTTTGAGGATTGCAGATTTTAGGGGTTTCTTGTTGGGAATTCACGCTCAAAACCCTAAGCACAATAGAAACGCAGTATAAAGAAAATACACTAAGATTTAACAATGTTCGGCAATTGCCTACGTCCTCGGGAGCCCCACACAATAATTTCTTATTAATCTCAAGAAATTACAAAGCTTAGAGTAGATCTCAAACTGAGATCTCTCAATAAATACTAAATCAATACTGTAGCTACAGTGACGATCTCTCTCTTTTTATTCCCCCACAATAAATTTCTCCTTTCTTAAATTTCCTTAAATCTCCCCTCAAAATCAGAGCGCTGGAGAAAAAGGGGGGAAAACGCAGAGGGGGAAAACGTCGCCGCTGGAAAAATGACGAGGAGAAGAGCACACATCTCGTGCCCTGGGGTTTCCCTTTTATAGGCAAACCCTAACGACAGGCTGGCGACAGGCTGTCGCTGTCGCCGAAGCTTGCCTGTAGCGCTTGAGCTCGAGCTCGCCTGCAGCGCTTGAGCTTGAGCTCGCCTGCAGCGAGTCCCGCCTGAAGATCCTCGTGCTTGCCTGCAACTACAGACCTCGCCCGCTCGCCTACAGATCTCGCTCTCCAGATCCCAACCTCGCCAGCAAGGAGTCGCTCGAGCTCGCTTGATCCCGACCTCGAGTTCGCCTGGACTTCGCCTGCTCGAGCTCGCCTGAGTTGAAGTCCCCTCGAGCTCGCCTGTGTGTCCACGACCTCGTCTGAAGCCGCCTGACAGGTTTGGTCGACACCCCTAATTCCAACAATCTCCTACTTGGAGACCAAACCGTCGTCATCAGGCTATCTCAACAAGCACCTTCTCCTGTGTGGCTCTGCCCTCATCACTTATGCATGAAGACCAACTGAAGTTACGCAGAACTCCAGTTTCTGAAAGGTCACTGCCTTTGTCAACATATCCGTTGGATTCTTACTTTCTTCGATCTTATGTTAAAATCTTTTAACAACTTGTAGGGCTCTGTATCTTATGAAACCATCCTGTTCCATTTTCACTCAATACACCTACTTGTTGTGATGTGCCTTCTTCCCAATGGGTACCTCATCTAGTTCCCATGTCTGGTTGGAGATCAGAGATTTCATCTCTTCTTTCATAGCAAACTCCCACTTGCTCGCATCTCCACTCTGACAAACTTCATCATAGCTTTCAGACTCCCCTCACTCTGTCAGCAACATATAATTCATGTATCTGCTGTTAGGCACAGGAGGACGAGTAGTTCTCCTTAATATCGGAACTAGTACGTTGGGTTTCTGCGCACTGTTCTGTCCAACAGGCTCTTCTGGCTGAAGACCTTTTGCATTAGGTTTCGAGAGGTTATCTGGGACATTATCTGTATCTACAAATATTGACTCGCTCTTTGAGTCATCTGTGTTGTGCATGTCCTTGTACATCACCTTCTCGTTGAATATCACATCTCTGCTCCTGATCACCTTCTTGTTTTTGTTATCCCAAATGCGGTAGCCGAACTCATCTTCACATCACATCTCTGCTCCTGATCACCTTCTTGTTTTTGTTATCCCAAATGCGGTAGCCGAACTCATCTTCACTATACCCGATGAATGTGCATTTCTTGGACTTAAGATCAGGCTCATTCCTGCCTTGATCACTAATATGCACATCAGCTACACAACCGAAAATTTTAAGATGTGAGATGTTTACCTCCTTTCCGTACCATACTGTTTCTGCTCCAATAGAACCGATGGCCCTCGGTTGATCAAGTAAGCTGTTGTGTTGACTGTTTCTGTCCAGAACTGTTTCGGTAGACCTGACTGTATCCGGATGTTTCTGGCTCTTTCTGTCAACGTTCTATTCATACGCTCAGCCACACCATTGTGCTGAGATGTACCGGGCACGGTTCTCTTTATTTTGATACCGTGTCCATAGCAGAACTTCTTGAATCTGGTGACTTCATACTCACCATCATTGTCTGTTCTGAGCTTTTTTATTCTCAGATCGATCTCATTTTCGATCATAGTTTTTCATCTCCTGAAAGCTTCAAATATTTCTGACTTATTCTTCAGAAAGTAGACCCACAATTTTCGAGAGTGATCATCGATAAAAGTCACGAAGTAGTGTTTCCCACCAACAGACGCGGTGGTTATTGGTCTCACACATCTGAGTGAACGAGCTCTAGCTTTTGCTTCATGAGGGTTCTACCACTTGTCTGAAAGCTGACTCTCTTCTGTTTTTCAAGTATGCATTCTTCACACATCAATCTCTACTGATTGTAAACCTGAGAGTTTTTCTTTTGTGTGCATAATCTTCATCCTCTTTTCACTCATATGACCGAGTCTCTGGTGCCATAGCTTTGAGGTCTCATTGCCTGCTGTAACTGAGATCAAACAATGTGCACATGCTATCATATACAGAGTACCGGTCTTCCTGTCTCTGGCAATCGTCATTGCACCTTTTGAAATCCTCCAATCATCACCATGAAAAGTCGTGTAGCCTTCACTAGCCAGCTAGCTTACTGAGATTAAGTTCATTTTCAGGTTGGGAATATACCTCACATCCTTCAGCTCCCATACTGACCCATTCAGCTTAATCTTCACTACACCTTTGTCAATAATGACACATGGTTGATCATCACTAATGTATACATTTCTACGGTTTTCGGGGTATACTTCTCGAGGTTCTTTCTGAGAAGTAGCATGAAATGATGCTCCAGAGTTCAACACCCAAGACTCCTCCTTGTTCTCCAAAGAGCATATCAATGCATCATCTCCTCCTGAGATGGAAACAACATTTGCATCTGCCTTTGCCTCCCACTTCTTCTGTGCACTCTTGCACTAATTTTTGTAGTGTCTGGTTTTCCCGCACTCCCAACACTCGATAGCATTCGAGCTGCTTGGATTCCTGGATTTGGGCCTCCTGTCCTCTGATCCATTTCCTCTGGTTAAATTTCTACCTTTTGACTCTGTATGCAATACTGAAGAGGCTGTAGCTTTACCCGACTCTCTCTGTCGAATCTCGTCACTGAGAATCAGATTACAAACGTCGTCAAACTTTAACTTGTTGCTTCCCGACGAGCTATTCACAGCTGTGACTGTAGCATTCCAACTCTCTGGTAGGGAAGACAAAAAGATCAACGTTCGAACTTCCTCATTAAACTCAATATCAACTGAACTCAATTGGGTCGTGACTGTATTGAGTTCATTGAGATGATGTGCTATCGATGCACCTTCCGCCATTCGCAGATTGAACAACCGTCTCATCAAATGGACTTTATTTGAGGCTGATGGCTTCTCATATATATTTGAGAGTGCTGTCATAAGACCCATTATGGTCTTCTCCTTTGCAATGTTAAAAATAACATTACGGGTTAACATCAAACGAATAACCCTGAGGGTTTTTCTGTCTAGAAGATTCTAATCTTCTTCCTTCATACCTTCCGGCTTCTTCCCTGAGAGATGTTGATATAGATTTTTCTGATACAAATGATCCTCTATCTGTATTTTTTAGAATCTGAAATCTGATCCATCAAACTTATCTAATCTCATATTTTCTTCATCTGCGGCCATCGCTCCCACTTGAATTTGACTTTCGCTAAATCGTTTCAGGCGCTGATACCAGTTGTTGAGAATTCACGCTCAAAACCCCAAGCAAAACATGATGAGGACATCTAGGCACGTGCACGAGACTTTCGTCGTGTTTATCAGCGTAGGAGACGCCGTGTTTCAGCCTTGCACCGGATCTCTGAGATGTGATTTTGATAATTTAGATTTTTTTGTTACTTTCAGTTTAGTAGTTGATTTGAATTTGAATTGTGAGATTAGATATGATAGTTATTTATTTTGATATCTGATTAGTTGAGAGAGATTTGATTGAGAGATTTCCAAATCTGTAATATTTTCTCTTTATAAGTTGGCTGTAATCAGAAACAAAAATCAATTTGAAGAATGAATGAAAATTTATTTTGCTTAACTGAGGTGTGAAACCCTAGCATTAATTTTCGTTTGATCTTTTTTTTAGCTGCTAAACTCCTTTTTTCCACAGCCGCTCCTAAGTCCGCTCACCCCTGTTCATCATCTTCAACCTCCGCTCCATCTTCCATTCGCAGCTACAAAAACCCTCATCTCCCATCTCCTCACAAACCCGCTCCAGCACCGCTCCCTCCATGCAGCATCGTGCCACCAATCACCGCCACCCCCTTCTTCTTCCTCTGACTTGCAACCACACCCCTCTCCCCTGACCTTCGCCGTTTAACAACTCCACCCCCTT